AACAAAAACAGTTACGGAGGAAGCACTAGAAACAAGCTTGATTACTTGACAATTTTGTGTATGGCTAATTCCACCTGTAATCCTGTTTAAGTTACCACTTACTGATCCCCTTATCATGTGCCCATGCACTGAGATGGGGCTTTCTGTGCATTAAAAATTTTAAATCCTCAGCACAATCCTGGGAGACATGTACGATTGTTATTTGACTTTATAGATAAAGAAACAGGGGCTTAGAGACATTAAATAAATTGCTGGAATTCCAGCTATCAATTTGCAGCAAGCTGCAACTGGAACCCATGTCTATTTGATTCTAAAGCACCCCCTCCCACATGTCTGTTATGTTGCCTTTAAAAACAAACAAACAAAAACCAATTTGATGGAGCATAGTAAGAAGAAAAATAGTTAACGTGTACTTAATGTTCGAATTAGATGATCAGAAGGACTTCTCAAGCCAATTTTAGAGTCGGAGGTCTGCTGTGCCAAAAGTTTCTCTTTTTTTTGGACAGAGTCTCACTCTGTCGCCCAGGCTGGGGTACAGTGGTGTGCTCTTGGCTCACTGCAACCTCTGCCTCCCGGGTTCAACCAATCCTTTTGCCTCAGCCTCCTGAGTAGCTGGGACTACAGGCGCATGCCACCACACCCGTTTAATTTTTGTATTATTGGTAGAGCTGGGGTTTCACCATATTGGCCAGGCTGGTCTCGAACTTCTGACCTCGTGATCTGCCTGCCTCAGCTTCCCAAAGTGCTGGGATTATAGGCATGAGCCACTGCACCCGGTCTGCTATAGGTTTTTATGAACTGTAGTTGTTCTTTTTGGTTGTAAGGTGGTAAGAAATACCTGGAAGGGGTGGGGTGGAGATTGAGAAATCTTCCAAGAAACAACACAGGCTGTAATTGGAATGCCCCTGTATGGGAGACCCATGAGCCCTTTTCAACGCTTTGGGGACATTTTAATAACCTGAGTAATTACCTGTGATAGGCAGGCTTTGTTTTCTACTCATTAATAACTCTCCAGGCTACATTTTATTCCTCTTACTGCTAATTTACATGCAGAGATACACAAAATAAATGCCGTCAACTGATTGCCACATCACTGTCTGCATATCAATGCTCTCCTGTCTGCTTGGGCCCTGAGAAAAGGAAAGAGGAGAAGGAAAAGGGAATGACAAGGAACCTGCGATAGCTGAATTTATTTTAAAAGCAAAATTCTGGTACAGAAACCAGAATTTGGACAGTTACTGATTTTATATGAATTATTGATATTTGTACATGGTTAGTGTTTTGGGATTGCGCTATTTAGTATATGCTGGTCCTCTTTTTCCTCCTTGTGATAGATAGCATGCCTTGGGAGCACACACAGGTAAATATTTAATGCTTTTTGTTCGTTTTGCTCTTGTGGCTTGTTTGGCCCTCAGGGTGTTCATGTTTTGTAGCCTGTGTGTGTAGTGTTTATAGCATCAGAACATCATTACAACCCTAAATGAAATTTGGATTATTTACTTCTAAGTATGTTTCCAAAACAGTCTAATGACTGTGTTAGCAATATGACGTAAGGGCACAGGAGCCAATTTGAATGGAAATATGTGTGAATATGGCTTTAGAGCTTTCTTTTTTTTTTTTATTGCATTTTAGGTTTTGGGGTATATGTGCAGAGCATGCAATACAGTTGCGTAGGTACACACATGGCAGTGTGTTTTGTTTGCTTTCTCCCCTTCACCCACATTTGGCATTTCTCCCCAGGCTATCCCTCCCCACCTCCCCCTCCCGCTGGCCCTCCCCTTTCCCCCCCAATAGACCCCAGTGTTTAGTACTCCCCTCTCTGTGTCCATGTGTTCTCATTTTTCATCACCCGCCTATGAGTGAGAATATGCGGAGTTTCATTTCTGTTCTTGTGTCAGTTTGCTGAGAATGATGTTCTCCAGATTCTTCCATGTCCCTACAAATGACACGAACTCATCATTTCTGATTGCTGCATAATATTCCATGATGTGTATGTGCCCCATTTTCCCAATCCAGTCTATCATCAATGGGAATTTGGGTTGATTCCAGGTCTTTGCTATTGTAAACAGTGCTGCAATGAACATTCGTGTGCATGTGTCCTTATAGTAGAACGATTTATAGTCCTTTGGATATATACCCAGTAATGGGATTGCTGGGTCAAATGGAATTTCTATTTCTAAGGCCTTGAGGAATCACCACACTGTCTTCCACAATGGTTGAACTAATTTACACTCCCACCAACAGTGTAAAAGTGTTCCTATTTCTCCACATCCTCTCCAGCATCTGTTGTCTCCAGATTTTTTAATGATCGCCATTCTAACTGGCGTGAGATGGTATCTCAATGTGGTTTTGATTTGCATCTCTCTGATGACCAGTGACGATGAGCGTTTTTTCATATGATTGTTGGCCTCATATATGTCTTCTTTCGTAAAGTGTCTGTTCATATCCTTTGCCTACTTTTGAATGGGCTTGTTTGTTTTTTTCCTGTAAATCTGTTTGAGTTCTTTGTAAATTCTGGATATCAGCCCATTGTCAGATAGGTAAACTGCAAAAATTTTTTCTCATTCTGTTGGTTGCCGATTCACACTAGAGACTGTTTCTTTTGCTGTGCAGAAGCTGTGGAGTTTCATTAGGTCCCATTTGTCTATTTTGGCTTTTGTTGCCAATGCTTTTGGTGTTTTGTTCATGAAGTCCTTGCCTACTCCTATGTCCTGGATGGTTTTGCCTAGATTTCCTTCTAGGGTTTTTATGGTGGCAGGTCTTATGTTTAATTCTTTAATCCATCTGGAGTTAATTTTAGTGTAAGGTGTCAGGAAGGGGTCCAGTTTCTGCTTTCTGCACATGGCTAGCCAGTTTTCCCAACACCATTTGTTGAACAGGGAATCCTTTCCCCATTGCTTGTTTTTGTCAGATTTATCTGATTGTATGGTTGTAGATATGTTGTGTTACCTCTGACGCCTCTGTTCTGTTCCATTGGTCTATATCTCTGTTTTGGTACCAGTACCATGCTGTTTTGATTACTGTAGCCTTGTAGTATAGTTTGAAATCCGGTAGTGTGATGCCCCCTGCTGTGTTCTTTTTGCTTAGAATTGACTTGGCTATGCAGGCTCTCTTTTGGTTCCATATGAAGTTCATGGTGGTTTTTTCCAGTTCTGTGAAGAAAGTCAATGGTAGCTTGATGGGTATAGCATTGATTCTGTAAATTACTTTGGGCAGTATAGCCATTTTCACAATATTAATTCTTCCTAACCATGAACATGGAATGTTTCTCCATCTGTTTGTGTCCTCTCTGATTTCGTTGAGCAGTGGTTTGTAGTTTTCCTTGAAGAGGTCCCTTACGTTCCTTGTGAGTTGTATTCCAAGGTATTTTATTCTTTTCTATTTAAAAAAATCTTTTAAAAAAATCCTTGGGGACCTGGCTGGGGTTTCATGCCTGCAATCTCAGTGCTTTTGGAGGTCAACCTGGGCGAATCACCTGAGGTCAGGAGTTCAAGACCAGCCTGGCCAATATGGTGAAATCTTGTCTTTACTAAAACTGCAAAAACCAGCCAGGTATGATGGTGGGTGACTGTAATCTCAGCTACTTGGGAGGCTGAGGCCGGAGAATTGCTTGAATCCAGGAGGTGGAGGCTGCAGTGAGAGATAGCACCACTGCACTCCAGCCTTGGTGACAGAGTTACTGGCAATCAGTTGACAGTAATACTCTGTCTCAAAAAAAAAAAAAATCCTTGGGGCTAGTTATCTTGGTTTTATTATGATGATGATACACAAGAAAGAAATACCAAACAGGCTGAAATAATTGAAAATACATCCAACCTAACTTAATTTATTTCACTGGAATCTTTCTAGTTATATAAACTCATTTTAGCCACAGGTGCTTATTTTTTAAAAACTAGACTGGAGCTCTGGGTGGCATTTTTTTTTTTCCTTGAACTGTAGAATTTCTAGTTTAGAAGTAGATTCCTCCTCAGGGGATATATAATTATTTATTAATTTAATCAGTGCCATACACTTTGTCTTGAAGCTATTCAGAGTGTTATAGAAACATCTGTTATATTGTGATTATGATGGCTGCGAGGCTGTTTCCCCAAATGCCTTGACAAGAGCAGTTTGACGTAGTTTGGTGAAGGCGGTGCCCTGGTGCTGCAGTCACCATAGGGATTTTTCATCTTGGCTTCATGTTGGTAGATTGATACTCTCAAGTACGTTCAAGATTCTCTTTTTCGGGGGAGGGTTGTTTTCATTGAGACCTGGCTTTCTTCTTTCCTTATTTAATGAAATAGAGACAACTATCATTTTCTGCCTTTAAACGTTATTATTAGTGATTTTATAAATAGAACATTATTTTTCAGGTGGGCCTATGTCTATACTGGCAACCATTTTATACACATGGACTCATTTAGATGTTTAGGACTGTGGATATATAAATGGGCAAGTTTTCAGGCAATTCGGGTAGGTTTTTCAATCTCGCCTCTCCATTTCCTGTCTAAAGGACTTCTTCCATGTCCACAACATGTTAATTCAACATTCGATAAAACTTCTAATGGGAAATTTCTTCCAGGTGACCTCCCTGAGAGGCTGGGCTATGGTGAAATCTTAAACACAACTGTGATGAAATTGGCTCTGTTGAGACTATTACTTGGTCCAGGAACAAGGAACAGAATTCAGTTATTTTTGATTCTTGAATAAATGAATTCTGTTCCTTTTGTGTAGGTGGCAGAAGAAATTAACCCCTGTAGAAGATCCAGTCTCAGTTTGAAATTGACCTTTTGGTTTCTTTTAAGAGTGCTGAATAAGAGAATGTAAAATTGTTTTAATTTGAACCTCAAACAACTTGGAATCTGTTCTGCTGTCTGCATATCTTTGATAGATCTGTCCTTTCCAGGGTTGCCTGTCTTTATATTTAATTTTGTGGAGGTTGGAATTGTGATTATCAAATGACTTCCAACTTGGGACCACGTGTGGGTGGATACTAATGAATTCTTTCTTAACCTTCCCAGCACTTTTGGAGAAATCAATCAGTAGAAGGCGGGACACCGAAGCCATACAGAAAGCCAAAATCCTTTATTCATCCTGCATGAATGAGAGTGAGTGATCAAGAAAGCTAAATAAAATATTTATCATCCCTATTGTTTAGAGTTCTATTAATGTTTTAATATATTGTTTGAGGATGAAGAGAACTAAGAATTCTATTAATGGTTAAAGGTGTTTAAGGAAAGGAATGATTCTCAAAGACTGGATTTTGACTAGTCCCATCTTAGTTAATGTTGTTACTGGCTTGCTTGGTAGAGAAAATAATCTTATTTATGTGGGTTGGATTCTTTGGGTAATATTTACTCCTCGAAAAAGTTGGACATAGTCACCAGGGCAAACTCACTGTATCTGGTATAGAAACCAGAATCTAGGAGCCAGGGCAAATCTGGCCTGAGAAAGAGACTGGGAGGGAGTGTACCTAATGGAGCTTAGAGAAATCCAGATTCCCAGGTGTGCCAGGTTCCTGTGTCAGCCTAACAGGCATCTTATCTTGTTGGGTCCTTAGCGCTGTCTCAATATCTTCGTTCTGATTGAAATCAGAACAGATAGTGGCCATTTTACCTGATCTGCCTTCTCAAGGCCATTGCTGGAAGAAGCCAGTGCATATGGGAAGTGTGTCAACTGGTCTAGGATTTGGGGTATCATGTGGTGAGCTAGAAAAGAGCAATAAAAGACAAGAATCTGAAGCACCACTTCATCTTCATTGGGTAGTGATTGACTTTGTTGAGGCATTCCTTTAGTTAGGGTTGTACCTTAGTCCAAACAAGTATTATCATTCATTGGCTGGGATCCATGTAGAGAGTCCATGTTTATTGTAGTGAATATCCAGCAGTTTCCCTGGTCATCTCTCCTGGCAAGAACACTAGATGTAGACAGGCCCATTGAAGCATGGATCATAGGTAGTTCTGTCTCTGTGATTATGCTCATCCCACCTCACCTCTCCTGCTTACTCCCTAACAGCTGAAATTTTAAGTTGGAGCCTTATGGAAATTTTGTCTTGAGAAGATGCACTCGAATTCTAGTGTGCTGATCCAGTTTGCAATTCTAACTCTCTCTTCATATCTGCTCCCTTTCAGAAGCCATTGAAAAAGCAGATGCCAAGCCACTGCTACACATCCTACGGCATTCACCTTTCCGCTGGCCCGTGCTTGAATCTAATATTGGTCCTGAAGGGGTTTGGTCAGAGAGAAAGTTCAGCCTTCTACAGACACTTGCAACATTTCGTGGTCAATACAGCAATTCCGTGTTCATCCGTTTGTATGTGTCCCCTGATGACAAGGCATCCAATGAACATATCTTGAAGGTATAGCAAGGACCCATTCATCTTCTTTGTTCAGTCCAAGATTAGCCTTTTGGGGTGCCATCCTGGTGAAGGAAACTCATGCTGCCTTAGCAGTGGCTCAGGCTTGTATGTAATCCCAGCACTTTGGGAGACTGAGGCGGGTGGATCATCCTGGTCAAATGGTGAAACCCTGTCTCTACTAAAGATACAAAAAATTAGCTGGGCATGGTGGTGCGTGCCTGTAATCCCAGTTACTCAGGAGGCTGAGGCAGGAGAATTGCCTGAACCCAGGAGGCAGAGGTTGCGGGGAGCCGAGATCGCACCATTGCACTCCAGCCTGGGTAACAAGAGCGAAACTCTGTCTCAAAAAAAAAAAAAAAAAAAAAAAAAAGAAATAATAACATAAACATTTTTATTGAATAGATCCTGCAATCTAGAATATTCCCGTCTCCTGATCTGCAGAATGTAGACCATTACCAGACAAGTTTTGTAACCCTTTCAGGAAGCTAGGGAATTAATTTCAGGTGATCTGTGATCTGGCTCTTATATGCCTACTTAGAGCAAGTCTAGGGTCCCTAAATTCCAGTGGGGAGAGGACTGCAGGTCTCCTGTTGTTAGCAAAGACTTTTGAGCCCTGTTCTTGCCCTTGCCTCCTCATTCCCTTGACAGAGGAGAAAACATGTGCCATGATTTTTTTGTTTCTCTTTCACTAACGTTTTCTTGTGCTCACATCTAAATTTTAGTTATCAAATCCACTCTGAATCTCTCTTCCCTCCTTTCCAAAGATATAGCAAAACTTGTTCTTTTCCAAGTGCTTGGTTGCATTTTCTGTTGGAAGAGTAACCATCTCTTCCATAAAGCAGTGGGCCACCTGGACATGCACTGAGGCAGATCACATTGGTAAAATCAGGAGACTTTCAGAAAACTATCAACAGCTAAATACTCACCAATGAAAGAGCTATGCAAGAATTCAAATAACATCTGTCAATAGTTTTGTGCTTTGATCCTGCTGGGGTTTTTCTTTTTCTTTTTTTGCTTCCACAGTTACTTGACTGATAATGAAAATGTTATTGCATGATTGATTTTCTCCCCAATTCTGTCTTTAGCCAAACCAGAAAATATGACTGATATATTGATGTTCAAATTGTAGACTTGTGTTGTCTTCACCTCATGTATTTCAACCTTCTGAAATCCAAATCTTAAAGTTCATCTTTTGATTTAGACCAGGGATTGGCACATGTTTGGGTAAATGACCAGATAATACCTATTAAGGCTTTGCAGGCCATCTGGTCTCTGATGCAACTACTTAATTCTGCCATTGTGTCTGGGAAAGCAACTGTAGACAACAAATGGGTATGGCTGTGTGGTACGCTGGCCCATTTTATTATGTTTTCCACCTATTTCTAGATCTACAACCTTCTGCTGTAGTTTCTCACATCTAGATTAGACAATGGAAGACTCAATAAAAATCTTTGGTCGTTGGAAGGACTTTCATCTACTCAGGAGGAAATTCTGAGTTCCAGAGACAACCGTGTTTCTACGTTTGGTGATGAAATGAGTCATCTTTTAACGTTATCAGGATAAGATGTGCTGTGTAAGACACAATGATGACCGAACTGATCTCTGTACTGTGTGGATGGATACATTACTCATTTTTTGAAACTAGGTTTTAAGACTATCGTTGTCAGTTCCAGAACTATTATGATGTTCTTTCAAACACTTTAAGTGGTGTTTTGAAGTAAGCTGAAGATTGTTTTTCAAATTTAAGTTTAAGCTTATGTATTCTATTGAGTGATAGAAGATCTTGATTCATACACCGATGAATAATTGCAAGTGGTAGCCATTTTATTATTCTTTTCACCTGTTTCTGGATCTATTCAATTGAATTTATTTCTTCAAACATTTTGTTATGAAAAAATGACACAAAATTAAAGAATAGAATAGTAAACTCCCATGTATCCATCAACCCAGCTTCAACAGCTCTCAACCTTCTGCTGTTATGTTCCTTTCTGTGGTGATGTTTTAATCTAGACCCCTCCTTTTTTTTGGGAGGTGGCTAGAAAATTTTATAACAAATTAAAAATATATCATTGCATTAATAAATACTTCAGTGCATAGCTAATGGAAAGGACTATTATCAAAACCAAAAGATAACCATAATTCCATAATTAACATCAAATACCCAGTTAATTTTCCATTTTTCTGATTATCTTAAACATGTCCTTTGAAAAAAACCCAACAGTTGGTCTTTGATTCAGGCTCCAAATAAGAATCACAGATGAACTTCGTTGATGTGTCTGTTTTACTCCACAAGGGATCCCCCTATTTTATTAAAGGCACATTTATTTGTTGAAGAGATTGGAGTATTTGTCCTGTAAACTGTCTTACATTCTGAATTTGACTGTTTTCAGGGTAATCTAATAGCAGATGAAAGTTCTTGTTTATAGGAGAACCACAGCTTAAAAATGCAGAATAAATAATGGGAAGCTACCTATTTAAAAAAAATCCCTAATGAAAGGATGGATCTAGGTGATTATTGTCAATAGCTGCTAAAACCATTAGGTAAATGGTTGATTGGGAAATTAATGATAGAGAGATCAGACCAATATCATCTGAACCCTAATATCAATATCATTGCTAAAAGTGAGGCAACCAGAGATTGAGTGCCTCCTGGTATCAGTAGGAAGTACACACTATCAACAGTGATGTGCCCCCCACACAATCGAGCCTCTAGTTTTAATATGAGCTTATAGAAAACATGGGGAATAGAGAAACATCATAACCAATTTTTAATAGCTTGCCTTGTACATGTAATATTCAGTTAAACTGATTCAACAGACACTAAAATATCAGTGATAGAATACTTTCCAAATGTAAGGAGGCACCCATTTACTTATGATTGCTCTCTTTTGGCAAGATGCCAGCTTGTTCCAAACTGCTGTTTGAACATTGTTTGGCATTTGAGCACAGCAGACGTTTGCTTAAGTTCTTTTCCGATTTGTACCATTTTACGTGACTGAATATTCACACGTCTGAACTAATTGCCTTCCCTCAGATATAACTACAGTCTTCTGGATGACACATTTACAAGAGTTCAAGTATGTATCTAGAGGTGGTAGGAGAAGCTTGATTCTGAGAGCTGCGTGAAACCTAATGAACCTGATAATAAAAATGACCATATTGAAAAATGAGCATATTGGTGGCTGCCAAAGTTGTAGAATTTGCAAGTGTTGCTTTTTTATTCATTTAAAAATAGTTAAAACTATAAAAGACAAAATCTAATTGGATGAACATTTGGAGCCCCACCTTCTAGGTTTTGTGGAACACAGTTTGAAAACTAATGATATAGTTAAAAAAAAGAATAGGGTTTTTTTGTTTGTTTGTTTTTTGTTTTTTTGTTTTTTGTTTTTTTGAGATGGAATTTCGCTCTTGTTACCCAGGCTGGAGTGCAATGGCACGATAAGAATAGGTTTTTGTATTGAAAAGATTGAGGTTCACAGTTTACCTTTGTGATTTACTCACTGATTATTTCACTTCCCTGATCTCACTTTCCCTCTGTGTACAAAAGGGTGAATTATAATTTAATTGTCATTGAGGTTCAAATGAATTGACTTTTATAACAGTTTTCATGATAGATACTGGTCCACAGTAGCACATGACACAAGGTTTCCTTCTCTTCAAGCATGACCCAGCAACTGGCCAGGACCATTTGGAGAATGTTTTTCTTTAACATGTATACCCAATATGCCTCTGAGTTCTCAAACTCAGTTGTGCAAGGAATAGGCATTTTCTTTACTTGACCTAATTGGGAAACTGAATTTTAGTCTAGTCATTTACCTCCCCTCTTGGTGACCCCATTTCTCAGTCTTCCCCTAGGGTACTGGGAAACTCTATAATCAGTTATCTGGTTTCTGAGAAGAAACCCACTATGGAACCCATGTAGCCCCTTCAAATGAGCCCCTCTGATGCTGAGATCTTGCAACTCCCATTCCTTCTCAGATCCTGCCATGTTCTGGGGGCACTGATCATTTCCTCTGCTCATGAGAATCTTTGACTCCTTTTGCTGCTTGAAAGATCCTCTTTCTGCTCTGGAAGAAATCCCTCTTACCTGAAACTCTTCCCTCAATGTCCTTAGGCTTCCTTTTCCATCAAATTCAATTTTCCTTGGTGTACTTAGCTTTTCTAATCCCACAAACCCACAGGAAGAAGAGAAGGGTCTCTGGGCAGGCACAACACTGTGGGCATCCTTTTGGGTGAACAGATGGTGCCTTTGGGTGAAGATAAAGGCACCCTTTCTAAGGGGTAGATATATTCCATGCCAAAGACATGCAGTTTGGCCAGTAGGGGTTACTCCAAACAACGTGCCTCTGCAAAGCCCCCCTGTTTGCTACATGCTTAAATGAGATAAAGGAATTCCAAACAACAGAAAACAACAGAAGTTAGTGACCAGAAACATTGTCTTGCTACACATGTTTGGATTTATTCTATGTCAGGAGATAGGAAATATGAGGATTTAAGGGACAATAAAAGATGTGAGTGTATATGATCCTGACAAAGTATTTGGAAGGCCAGGGTTGTCCCAGTATGTGTTACTAGTTAATGAAGACAACAATTTAAAGTCATGTCTCAACAGCCTGCATTTTTTCTGGCTCTCAGCAAAAGTCGTAAAAAATGGCAAGGAGAAACTCTAAGAAATGAAATGTTTCTAAGTTTATTTTCTTTCCTTCTCCTCCAGGAACTGACAGAACATAGAAGTTTATTGTATTATTGTTAATTAAGTTAATTAATTAATTACTTAATTTTTTGACATGGAGTTTCACTCTCGTTGCCCAGGCTAGAGTACAGTGGTGCGATCTTGGCTCACCGCAACCTCTGCCTCCCAGGTTCAAGTGATTCTCCTGTCTCGGCCTCCTGAGTAGCTGGGACTACAGGCATGTGCCACCATGCCAGTCTAATTTTGTATTTTTAGTAGGATGGAGTTTCTCTATGTTGATCAGGCTGGTCTCAAACTCCGACCTCAG